TTTGTCCGTCGAACGTAACATATATTCCCTATGTTTGGCCCGGCTTTTAGAAGTGCTTTTCGGGTTCAAAAGCTGAAGCAGGGCCAAACAACTGTAAAAGCTCGACTTTTGAAAAGCCGAAAAGCGCTTTTATATAACATAAAAGCAGATACTACAACAAATTCGGCCTATTGTGACGGTAGGTTTTTGTCATATTAGGACTATGTTTTGTCAGATTGAGTATGTTATGACAAATGTTGTTGTCACAACGTGTTGTCATTTAATCTTCGTCAAAATAGGTAAAATGTGACAAAATTTTAAAATATATTTGTCACATTTGCCTTATGATTTTGTGACATATTCATGTGTCATATAAATGGTAAAAAAGTGACGAATAGTTTTGTCACCATAAGGGTGTGATTTGTCACATTTGGAGTTTGGTTTGTCAGTTTAGCTTACGTTCTAGTTAATCTATTGTGACGAACGAAGATTTTATGACGAAATGTTTTGTCATTAATTTTTTCATAATTTTTCGATTTATTCAGAATTTTTATTCATGTTACAAGATTATATTTTGTTAGAAATGCTATTATGATGATTTCAGATTGTCGGGGAAGTTGTTGTATGTGCCTCTTGTCAAGTAATGTACAATAATGTGACGTATTGACTTCGTCACCGGCGGAACCAGACGCTACTGGCGACGGCTCCCTTGCTTCCCTCCTCGTTTGAAACCAAAACAAACACAACAAACTAAAGTCAAAACTCAAAATCATTCAAAGGAAAAAAAAATCCAACAAAAAACCAGACCTACCGAGTTCCTCATGTTTCTCTGTCACCGGTGGCTCCCTTTTTCCTCCACTGCGCTCCCCTATGTTGGTGATCGATTCCAGAGCCGGTGACCTTTTCCTCCCTTTTCTCTGAGACCAAAAACCTCGCCATCAATCCAAAAAATAAGATTAAAAAAAAACCAGAACCCTAAACTCAAACCTTAAAAATCGACATGCAATGAAAAAGACGGATCCTACCTATGTCGTCTTTGAAATCGTCGTTGGCCTCGGCTGCCTCCATCCTTGCTGCCGCCTTTGTCTTCTTTTTCCCTCGACGTTTCCAGAAAGAACGAGGTGAAGGAAAGGGATTTCCTCCCTGCTAGGGAGACAAAAGAAAGAGCAAAGAGAGGCGGATCGAGAGACAAAAGCGAGAGAAGGAAGAAGAAGGATCGAGCAGAAGAGGAGAGGGAAGATGCAATACAAGAAGGTTTCCTTGTTCGTTCTGTAGCCAGAGAGCGAGAGAGATAACATAAAGGGGAGGGAGAACATATGAGATAGAAGGCGGCTAGGGTTTCTACAAAACCCGAACTGGAAGTAGTGAATTGAGCGGCTAAGTGAAAATTTGGGCGGCCAAGTGAGTTTTCGTTTTTTTATGAATTGGGTGGCCAAGTGAATTGGACTTAGGAATTTAATGAAACGTCTTTATTCTCCCATCTTAAGTAATTTTTTTTTGTCATCCAATTTTAAGTAAACTTGAATTAGAGTGGAATAAAATAATCCATTATTATTTTTCAATCAACTTGAATTGCAAGTTGCAACGTCGGATTTCAAGTTAACAAAACATATATTATAATATAAAATTACTAAATGCTACATTTAAAATCATTTAATTGTTAAAATATTATTTTACTTATATATATTTAAAAAATGTATAAATCCGGATAATCCGACCAGCCCATTAACCCACCACCCACTTGGCCGACCGGGTCAATTGGGCCAACTAGCCAAATCGAGTTGACAATCTTGGGAAGGAGAGGGAAATTTTTCCAACACTGAAAAGCCGACCGGCAAACTCTAATTTTCACACGCTAAAACGAAAAGTATATTTTAATTGTGCCTAATTGTTATGATGACAATTTAATTTGACATAATGAAAAGCAAAACCAATAAATTATGACGAACCTGCATTTTGTGAGCTCGTCGTGGGAAGAATAATGTCTATTATGACAACATGCTTTGTCATTTGAACATGTCATGACAACATAATATGACGAATGCTACTCTGAAGATTAACTTTGTCACTTTTGAGTCTCCTACATCCCTATATGGAATGCCTATTTTGACAACATTATTTGTGACATAAGCTATTTGTCACAGTACCCTCCTATTATGACAAACTATAATGACAACACTTAACGTTGTCACATTATGCTCATCTAATAGGACAAAGTCGTGTTTTGTCATATTACACACCTTATTGTGACAACCTGAAAATGACAAAAAATAAGTTTTGCCATAATAGGCCAAATTTGTTGTAGTGAAGCTCCGATTTGGAGTTTCTGCGAAAAGCTGTTTTGAAAATACAAGATTATCCTTACCATATTTTAATTTTATTTCAGAAATTATAATTTTTCTTCATATTTATCATTTTAAAAATAAAATAAATTATAAAATCATATTATTTAATATAAAAGAAATCTAACAAGATCCATTTTGACTACTTTTTATTGTTTAGAATTTGTATTCATATTTTATATTATAAGTCCTTTATAGTCATTTTACACAACCTCTTATATTAAAAAGCACTTCTAATAGTTTTACAGTCAAACACTCAACTGCTTTTTTTTAAAAGTACTTATCTAAAAGCTCCAGCCAGAAGCTGCTTATGCAAAAGTTACAGCAGGGCCAAACTAAGCTATTATCTGTTCATATCATATGATAATTTTTGGTAGTACGTCGGATTATACCATATAGTATGCAAGTGTATCATAGTGGCATGAAGAGAGTAGGGTGTAGAATAGTTGCATATATACATGATATATATTATGAATATACTAACTGTTATTTACCACATTTTATTATCATATAGCAGTCCGCAGTCCCTAGTTACCACCCTATATCATGGTGGTATAGGATGATATATTTGGTCTTGAAATTGCTCCCCCGGAAATTTGTAGATATAATAGATCATGATAAACTCGTTCTTTCCTGCTATTTATTCCCAAAATTCAAGTTAAAAACGAAGGTGGTAGTAAGTGATAACAAGTGGTATCAGAGCAGTAATGAGTAGGGGTGTTCAAACGGTGTGGTTACCTCGGTAACCGTTTTAACCTGTAGTATTTGGTTAATGTGGATAATTGGTTTGGTTAAAATTTTAGCTTGTTTGGTTTAAGTGGTTTGTTTGGTTTCAGACACTCCTAACCATTCAAACCAAATTAACCAGTTAAATAATTAGCCATATATCTAATATATATTATATACACGGTTCAGGCTAGCTAGCATACGTAAGGTGTACGATGTACGCTTGTTTTCACACTATTCTACACACATCGAGTATTAATATTTAGACCACGAATTAACTGGAGTTTGAGGCATGATACTATACACTAACCTCTAATGGGTGAACCCCAGCTCCTAATTCTCTAACCCAAGGAACAAGATTCATTTAATCTAAAAAAAAAAATAATAACCGACTATTCTGATTCAACGAAATATATTGAAGTGCATAAACCAAGTGTGAACACAGGCGTACAGCGTATGCTTGACGTACGCTAGCCTTTGCCTATATACACATACTTAATACTTTGCATAACCACTCAAGAGTCAAATGTAATATAATTGTATTTGTTATATGTATTTACGTTAAAGGTTAACAATAATTATGTGGATTGTTATGTGTTATTCATTATATATATTACGAATTGATGCATTAACCGAAATTTTTTCTCACTTAATGATAATGTGATGTTATATTGGTTATTTTGGTTAACCAATTAAAATTTAGTTTGGTTAATTTTATTGTTGTATTAGTTTGAAAGGTTTGGTTGTGATATTGTATTCCATGGTTAATAGAATTTAGGCTTATTTGGTTTAGTAATTACTATGGTAACCATTTGAACACCCCTACTAACGAGTGACATGGGTGGTATGAATTTTTTTTTCTCAAAATATATTGAAAATGGATATTGAATCGCTCTAACTAGAACTTCCCAATCAATCGCCAAGCATGACCGACGACTGGGTGTAGCATAGGGTAAGTAAGCAATAAAATTTATCGCACCATGGGGATCTAAGCTTACCTTACTTCAGGTTTAGGGTTCGTTATCTAACCAACCTAGAATAGTGATTAAGAAAACTAAACTAACTAACCTAGCTATTTACAAGGTTGAGAGCTCTCTTAGGTTGAATCCCCTAGTTCTCTTCTTTGGATCGATGTTGAGTACTATACTACTATTCACGCTTAATCAATTCACTACCCTACCATCATGAGATTGACTCACTCGGGATTGACCCGGAACGGCGAAGTGATGGATGGGTAGATGCTCTATTCAACTTAGTGTTTCATAATATACTTATTTGAGGCGAATATTTATGACTTCATACATTTTTTCCCAAGAAAGTAATATTGCTTTAAGAACGAATATCACAAACAAACCTTTTTGCCTCTAAAAGTATATATGAAGTAAAAAAGAAATGTTGTGATTTGTATAATTTACAAATAAAAATATTTGCTTACAATTCTACAAACAGAGACGACCGATATTTGATTTTAAAGAGAGAATTAGATATAAAGACTCTCAATTCAAATAAACATATGTTCTACAAAAGATATAGAGAGTTAAAAAAAATGGTTTTTGGAAACAAAAAATTCCTTCAAATTTTGTTGTAATGATTTTCATATCCTAACTATAAATTCTTGATTTTCTGACCTAATAATTCTTGATTTTCTTACCCAAGGAAACTTGAATTTCTTACCTAAAAAAACTTAGCACTTCTGCACTGCTCCTCCCATTCAGGCAACCCATGCATACACTAAATCCCGACCAGATCTCCTCAACAAATATATAAATAGTCCACGTCCCACGTCCTTTTCTTCCCACACCAAAAGAAAAAGAAAGCTCCATCGCCTCCTATAATATAAACTAGACAAATAGTAGCAGAGACTTTTGTCTAACGAGCGAGGTAAAGCTTTGAGAGATGGAAAGGGGAACAACAACCTATTGCTTTTCCAAACTAGCGGTTGTGATGGTTTTCATGGTGTTAGTTTGTGGCACAAGTAATGAAGGAGGAGGAGTAAGGGTAGTGGAAGGAGCATTCAGCATCTACATCAACCCTTGCACCCTCCCAGCTTGCATTGCTGCTTGCAAGAACGTGTTGAAGGACAAGTTTAAAAGTGCGTCGTGCGCTTCCTCGCCGCCGGCCACCGGAAAATTTTGCTTATGCCTCTAGGATTTACTTAAACGTGCAGAAAAAACAGATCAACACTCCTAATTGTTTTTGCTGAGTCTTCGCTTTTGGGTGTGATTAATAATGTGAAAAGTCTGTTCCCTATCAGTTTACATAATAAAGTTCTAAGCTTCCATTATCTCTTATTTTGTAAGTTATATATTTATCCTGATGAGAGAAAAATAACATTGTGTTGGCCGAAAATGATTTCTCATCACTATTCACTAAGCATTTATTCGTATTCAGATCTCAAATTCAAGATATTTGGAAGGCTGATATTTTTGGAAAATATATGTAGGTTTTGTTTTCGCATGTAATTGATATATGCCTTCCATATAATATGTACAGGCCTTTCCACAAATCGTGAAACCATATACAAAATAAACTAATTAACTCTATCAAACTACTATCTTTTACTCGGCCCTTGGCGAATGAGTTTCGCTTTATCTTTAATATTGGTTAATTTATAATTATATTTAAAATATTAACCCGATTCGTTAGTTGGATGAATTTTATTTTGATAAATCTCTTCATGTTTTTAAATAAGTTGAGGTTTCTAAAATAGTTAGTTCATTATTTCATAGTAATCTTTATGGTATTTGCTGATTATGACATTACCGATAATGAGTTAATATGTGCTTTTTTATCAAGTCCTCCTAGTTTACTGTTGTGTATTTTTTTCATATCTTAGAAGAAATTTGTGGACTTTTTCTTATCGGATATGAAGTTGGAGTTGAAAGAAAATATATGTCATCGTGAATGGTAGGAATTGAAGGTATATAAAAAAATCAAGAGAATAACGAAAAGATTATGTCTAGAAATCTCAAATATGGAAGAACACGAAAACATAATGCTTATTGTATAAATTATTAGAATTTAGTGTATAGGCTTGATTGAATAATAAGTCGAGGCTGTTAAGTGTTAGATACTAATGCACGTACAAAAGTTACGAAAATTCAACATTATAAAACCTTAAATTCTACTCTATCAATACAATCTTTGACTTTTCATGGGGAGTTAATAGCATAAATTGTCACTCTATTATCCATTTTTCTCAAATTTATCCCTTTTATTTTTCACATCAAACATGTCCTTGTAATATATAATATATACGTATTATCAAATTAAATTTAATCCCTTTTATGGCTTATCTTTTCCATCTGCAACTCCAAATAATTAATAGTCACAATCTCATCCTCCATCTGTCCCGCTTTCTCTTCCTTCGACCTAACAATAATTAAACGCAAAAAGTTGACTGTCACGAAAGAACCTTGAAGACCGACTTTTGATTTTCAACCACTCTCTGAAAAGTCCACAATTAGTGATAGATTTGACTCAATCATAAAAATTGGAACCCAAAATTTTTAGAATATATGGATTTCAAGTATCAAAGGTTGCCAACCTGGTTTACCCCATTGGCACAGTCGATCAAGTGGGTTGAGGGTTAATGGTCTAATTTTTTTAGTCCGCTTTTGCCGGGATATATGAAAAAATTATTATATTGTTCATTTATTTATAAATTATATAAAATGTCATCTACATATGAATAATATTCTTCCTCAACCAGACTATCTACATTTGTTTCTCTATCTGCTATTTTCTGCTATCCGCATTCGAGCTCCTAAAATGCACTCCAACAACATGTATTCGTCACGCAATGAAGGTCTCACTCCTATGGTGGCGATGTGTGTCAGAAGTGAAATTAATGAGTAACGACCAAGTGGAAATTGAGCATGGGGGTGTTTGCGGGGGAAGACAATACGTGATGTAAGGCGAGTTCTTCTAATAGTCTCTTTGTTAACAGGATTGACTTGACGGATTTATCTTACCAATTCGCGGAGCGAGAGCTAGAGCAGGAGCTAGAATGGGAGAGTAAGAGTATATACTCTTCAAGAATTATAATTTGAGTGCGCCAAAAGAGCGTGAATATTATATTATTTTAATTAATATATCATTTAACTTACTAACATGTTTTGGCCAAAATATTACATCAATGAAGTGGAAAAAAATAAAATCATTTTAGTAGAATAATAGCTTTAAATAATCTGATTAGGCCCGAAAAAGAACAAACTTCAAAAGGTGAATAAAAACCCAAAAAAGTTTTAGATATTATTCTGTTTTATTTTTTTAAAAAGGAAAAGAGAAATGAATACATCGTTTATCCACCCCTATGCACTCAATTAGTTGTTAATAAAAGAGTATATATTTCTCTTCCCCTTGATTCTTTGTTTCATAAGCCGACTCTGGAGATCTCCTGTAGATGTATCAAATTGGCAAATTCTATATCATCGGCTATCTAACTAACCTCCTATCATTTTATTCAGCCCCAAGCCCGTGATTTTATGATCTATTTCACATACTCATTCACGAACTCGTAGTGTATCCTTTTCGTCTTTGTTCCCCAGATCTCTGACAGTACCGCATGTATTTCTTTCTCCCACGAAGAAGCAGGTCATCATCTTTGAGTCAAAGCTGTTGATTTGGCTATAACTTGTTTAATATTTGGACCGTGATTTTAAAGTTATCCTCTATTTATAAAATATATAGGAATTTAATTTAGTATTAAATAATAATTAAAATAAGGAATTTGGCCATTGTTAGTCACCTAAAGTTTCAACTCAAATGCATGTTTCTTAATAATTTTTGCTTTGTATTTGTATGAGATGAGGTCGACTGGCTCTATGACTGTGCAGCTGGATAAAAATGAAATTTGCTATTGCGGTATTATGATAGCTTATGAGATGGTGAGGTCGTGTATTGTAGGCTCTCAAATCTAAAGTAAGAAGAAGAGACGATGGGATAGTCGAACATGGTATTTGATGTTTCATGTTGTAGGGTATGTGATAAGTAAAAGGATGATATGACAGTGTAGCTACGTATACGAATTGTTGAAAACAACATCATTTTGAAGTGGCTGATGCTCGAATCAGTTGGTTAAATCGGTTGGATTGCCCACTAAGATAGACAAACTCGACTTTGACCCAACCTAAGTAGACAACCAACTGGGCCTTCGGCACCCGCTGAGATACTCAGGTTTAGATAGAATTGGTTCGACCAACAGAGTCATACTCGAATTAAAAATCATGGTTATGATTTTTGTCTGTGTTTGAAGATACATTAGTTCAAATCCCAATACTTGTCTATTTTCTTTACAAAATAAAGATAAATAATGGTGAAGACAAAAATGTCATTCATACTTTTGCTCTTGTTGTAGGAAATTTAAAATGAGATGACAATTTTATCGTGCCAATAGTATATATTGTGTAGAGTTTATATGTAGACATGTCCTTGCTCTACAAATTCATTTTAATACATAAAAAGATAAAAATAAACCAATCTATTAAACTCAACCTCTTCTAATGATTGTTGGATCCATCATGCTGTCAGATTAGGAAGATGTTTGAAACTTAACGTTTAACAGAGCTAAAAATGTTCAAAGAACTCGTCCCCATATAGTTTGCAGAAAGATATGAATATGATTGCCGCATAGTAGTTCTATACACTAATACTAATGTAGGAGTTCAACATCGCTTCTACACATTCGATATTGTAATTCGATATGTAATATTGAACCAATTATATTTGGTCTATGATTTTAAAGTTATCGTCTATTTATAAGATAAATAGAAATTTAAATTAAGTATTGAAGTATAATTAAAATAATTAAATATGAAAATCGAAGTATCAAAACACCAATAAGTACTGAGAGAAGATTTAGCGACCTTAGCTAACCGTTGAAAAGTTATGTGATTTTTTAATTTTAGCTTCAAGTATGTTTTTTATTTAAAATGATACAACTAATCTATGTAGTAAGATTTGTTAAGATTCTTATCATAGTTGAAAATGACCATGGTTCAAATCCTAGTATGTGTATTTTTTTAAGAATAAATGAGAAACAAATAGATCATTGTGAAGACTAAATTACCCTTCTTACTTTCACTCTCGTTGCAGGAAAATTTGAATGGAGGGTGCAGAAAAAATATTCATCTATCTATATACTTGTAGAAAGGTTAACGGTTAACGTAAAAAAAATTGATAACAATGTACTCAACCGTCAAATATCACTTCTTATCACATGATTACATAAACCTGTTGGAAAAAACCTCTGACTTTCCCGCTTCGTGAAGTTAAGATAAGAACTTTAGGGATTAAGGTATTAATGGGAGCACACGAGTATAATTCTCCAATTTGGAGAATTCTTCTACTATAACGAAGAATAGTAGGATTACAAGATTAGCTCACTCTATGGTGGGTCACTTGAACTTGAGGATAACAACTTCCCAAACTATCTCTCTTCTCTCTCAAACAGGCTCTCAACTCTCTCACTCTAAAAAGTGGATTCTCTCTTTTTGCGTGGATAGTTTACAAATGAGGAGCTATCTTCCTTATATGCCTGAACCTCCTCAAATAGACGTATAGGATTGATTTAATCCTACGATCGTGGATGAGTCTCCAGAACATGATGCCCCATTTCAAATTTCAAGCACACAAAGTAGTTTCTGGAAGGCTAATTTTGCAAAATGTGTGATTGTGACGGGTGAGTTTCAATATCAACAAAAAATCTGGTGGACCGAGAAAGGTTGGAATAGAGGGAGAATAGGTGGATAGATTGGTGTTTGATAATATTATGACAGTTAAGAAGGGAAAATATCAAAAAGTTATCAGGAAAATATGAAGAGAGAAAGAAAGGTTCTAGGCGTAGGAGGCTGGTGAGACTCATATACAAAATTATTTTCAGTTGATTGTTGGGAAAAGTTTGTATTAGTGTATGCCCTATCTAGATATGTTGCCTCTGTTTATGCTAGGAAATCAGGTTAAACATTATTGATGGCATTTCCAGGTACATGAGTTCGTGTATGGACTATCTTAACGCATTTTATAATGGATAAGGTGCATGTCTATTTATGGCACTCGATTTGTCCTTTTAAGTGGTCTCAATATTTGTTATTACTTAAAATGACTGAGCATCAATTTGACGAACCAGAATGACGTGTGGTCCTATG